AAACAAACTTAATTCATATTTGAAAACTTAAGGCAATAAACGCAAGACAATTAATACATGAAGATGATTAAAACTTTATAATATATAACCATACCATAATAAAAATAAAAATTGTAAAAATTAATAAATAATATACTAACCCAACTTATAATTTCACAATCCACTATATATGTTTACTTGTATAAGTGAGGAACGAGATTTATACAGTAAATTTTGATCTAATATTACTTGTTAAAAATCAATTCAACTTAATAGTTTAAATTTTTAGATAAGATTTCAAGATATGATTTATATTATTCTCTAACACAACTCCTCAAGTGAAAACTCTCTAAACTTTAAACTTGTACAAGTCTATATTATCTTATACTTATTTTTTATCAAATAAATAAAGATGGTGAGATTCGAATTCGTAACCGTCTAATCATTAAGTTTCTGATAATATGTTTAAAAATCATCTCAACTCAATAATTTAAACTTTTAGGTAATATAATTTATATTATTTTCTAACATTATTGATGCTTATTCTTAGATATTGATATAATGTTACTAATATCCTTATCTTAATTACTAATATTATGACACTCAAACCTCTATAATGTTTTCACAAATAAATTTATATAAATGATTACGCTTATTCCTTATTTTAGAGAGGAAATCAATCAAATATTCAAGTTCAATATCATAATATAAAAGGTTTCAATCAAGTAAGCTCTCAAGAAAGATGTATTAATAATACAATAGTTTTTCTAGCTTTCATTCTCTTTTTTCTTGTTTAGTTTCTATATTTAAATGTATAGGAATCAAGAATATTTATTAGGATTGAAAAAAATTAGTCATTATTCCTCGTACAAAAGGAGTCATTGCATAAAATCTTACAATTAATTTGGGTATATTAATAAAATAGTTTGCTCATCCTATTTTATATTTTTCATTTTTTATACCAACACTTGATATTTCTCAAGTTTCCCCTACCAAACTAGGTTAAATAACTCTTACAATATGTCCAACATGCATAATCCTCTTAAGAGCTTTTTTGGTATGCAAAGAGAGTATCATGATTATCATCAGTTATATTTAACTATTTTATAATTTAGTAAAAATAATTAAGTTAAAAAATCTTGATCACTTGAAGGTTCAATATTTAAAAAAAATAAAAAAAATGCATGATTTTAAATGAAGGGTTAGTAGTTAGTTATGCTTAATAGAAGATAAAAATTAAATAAAAATATTATTTTCTTAAGAATGGCCACCTTACATGTTTCTAATCCTAAGATCAAATTCATTCATGCCATTGTTTTTCTAATTATTTTCTAAGTTTATTTTATTGATTAATTTTTAATCAAGCCTCTTACTGGAATTCAAAATTTATTTAGAATAATTAATTTATTAATTTTTATTTATCTATTTAAGTTATTGGAACAAAAAATTAGCAAGGTGATCAAAGTTGAGCTTGAAAGCTTATTTTATGGTCAAATCCTTACTAATTGATTTTTTCGTTCTTGAGTGACCCAACCCAAGTAATGAGAGATTTATAAATAAATGTATCTTGTCAATTTCATAAAAAATAAATAAAAAATACTGGCTATTACATAAAATCCTCGAATATCACAATCTCAAAGGTAAAATCTTATTAACTTAAACATCATTTTTATTTATGACCTCAATACAAACACTTCCACAAACAAAGGTAGAACTCTAATCATACCTTACCATACCCATAGCATTTGCAGCTGCTTTCATGTGGTCGTTGCCTCCATAACTTTTCATGTTTTCAACATGGCTTAGTTGCTTCTTCTTTTTTGTATTAATTAATATTTTATATTTTATATGTGCTTAATCTTTGATATTTATTAGTTCAGAAGTTAGTTTATTGATCATTATTTATATTATACAAGTATAATATTATAATATGTGTTTATACCTTTCTTACCCCATCTTTTTTTTTCCCTGAGTGAATCGAGATGGGTCTTTACAATTCCCATAGACCTTTTGAGCGTGGATTATGCCTTCTCGAATAAATTTGTTAAAATGAGTACATTTTGATGATGCTTCTGTTTATGGATATGTTTTACAATTAATTAATTGGTTAAATGTAATATTTACTTTGTTTATGTATATATATTTAACTTATTAATAAAATTTTATTTATTTTTAATATTTATTACATATTTAATTAATAAATTTAGAGTAAATATAAAGTTTTTAGGACAAAAATATTTTATAAAAAAATTATAAAATTGTTATAATTATGAGAGTTTTATTACATCAAAACATTGTTCATAAATATTTTTAGTTAATACTCTATTAAAACTTAATATTAATTAGAGATGTTGAGATTGATACGTATTATGTTCTTTTTTTTATGAAAGGAAACAATTGTTTTTATAAGCTGAGGTATGCAGAATATTTAAAACTAATATGTAGGTGCTTATTGAATAACATGTATACTAAATTAATTCGCATGAGAATTCTAAATTGAGAGATCATATGTGTTTAAGGAAAGATTAATGTGATAATTGTATAAGTGATCCTTAAACTTAAGATCACTAAGTTTATATAAAAAATATCATGTTTTGATCTTGCAATATGTTGTTATAATCAGTGGTAATAAATGAGCAAATATTGGGTATAACATGAACTATATAAAGGTATTTAAATAATTAAAAAATAATTCATCTTCCTATGTGAATTAGAGAAAATATTTTATGTCTTCTCAAATAATATTAATTATAAATCCTTATGTAAGGTGAAATGAGATTTGAAAAGAATTTCAAATTTTATTCAAATAATCAAGTACTATGATATTGAGAATAAAAATGATTTGATAGAGTAGACATACTTTATAGTATAATGTTTAAATCATGATACTATTGATGAAAAAATAATAATTACATTAAGAAATTAATTACTAGAAAGTTAAGTCAAACCACTTATAATGTTTTTAATATTTGAGGGATTATAACAGGTTATTAGGCATTGTACTTGACTTCAAATATAAATCAATTAATTGTTGAATTGATAATAAATTAATTTTTTATAATTTATTTCATTTTATTTTATTTAGGATTATGATTTATTATGTCAACTTATTTGGAAACCTATTAGGTCACACATTTAAGAACCATTGGTCAGAAATTAAAATGGAATAATTGATCAAGTGTAACTTGATTATAAATAAATTTTAGAAGTTGAGGATTAGAATGTAATTAATACAGGAAATTACAATTCTAGACCCTTAAACAATCATATAAGGACTTGATTAAATAAATTTATAAAATTAACCTAAAATAATATATGTGATATTATTTGAGAAAAAAATTGATATTTTATTATTTATAAGGTTTTTAGGTTTTCCTACAGATAAAAATATATGCCTTTTATTTTCTAAAGGTAAGTAGAGTATATAAACACCTAAAACATATACAAAAAAGCTAGTATTTTAAAGTATAGTGATCAGTCTCTTCTAAATCTTTTTAAAAAAAGATTTAGTAGTTTTTTCATTGGTAGTTCATATAGATTATCATTAGAGGTCAATTATTTGAACAAATTGTAGTATTCAAGTAAATTTTTAAAACAAAAAGAAAATCTAATCTTTTAATAATATTTATATAAATTTTAAACAATGCTAACATAATTATTAGAACCCCATAAAATTTTTAAATTTATGATTTTCATTGTGTATATATATTTCAAGAAACCAAACGGTTTCTTTTTTGTCTCTATTTTTTTTATAAAAAAAATACATATAAAATGGATGAAATACTTGCCTCTACATGATTACTTAATGATGTTTTGAAATTCTCTTTTTATGTAATATCTTGTAATGCAATAAACCAACATTTCAATTTCGAAAATTACACATAGAAAATGTAGCAAACCATTATATTACATTAATCCAAAGATGTGAATGTCATTAATGAATCTAGATGGAACTCTCTTGATGCTAATCAGACTGAAAAATCACTTTTTAAACATGGTAACAGCATGTTCAAAAGCCAAGAAAGAGATTTATTAATCGGGAATAGAATGATGCAATTGGTAGGTGAAGCTAACTTATCTAGATTCTATAACTATCTCAAATGAAAGAGCATAAATCGGTTAGCAAACATTTCTGCAGAAACAACATTCCTTGGCTGGCTGGAAGCTAGAACAATTCCGCAGAAACAGCATTCCTGAAGGCTTCAGCCTAGATAAAAAAATAGATCTTAAAAAAAATATAATATCTCATCTTATAATTATAAGTATAACCTTTTTATTTATCTTTTTTTCAAATCCGGATATGTAAATATTCCTTCTGTATTATTTCTTAATAGCCTCGTAGCTTTTCATTGGGCTTCTTAGCCTTTAGCATCCCATTAATTTCTCTTCTTACTCGTTGAATAAATTTTTAGGATTTTCTATTCTGGATAAAAGAACCCATTTTATATATCTCAATTTATATGTATTTGATTCATAGAAAAACATTAAAAAATTTAATTTTAAAAAATAAAATTAAAAAAATAAGTTTGGGAATGTGATTGTGATTATTTTTTAAAGTGTTTTTTGTTCTAAAATATATAAAAATGATATTTTTTTATTTTTTAAAAATTATTTTTAAAATCAAAATATTTAAATAATTTAAAACATACCAAAAAAATTAATTTTTAGCAAAATAAATAAATTTTAAGGGAACGGGTTTGCACCGCGTTCCCAAATAATCTCTACTCTTTAGCCCCTATCTTATAATAGCAAATAAATATTCAATCAACAATGAGAAGTATAGCCTAATTGGTCAGGCTCTAGGTTTGCTCTGTAAAGATCACTAGTTCGAATTTCACAAATCTTAAGACCATTAAAGATTTATATGATCCTTAACTTCAAGACCCGTAAAATTAGTCGAGATATATATGAGCTGATCTAGATATTCACATTAATAAAAATAAATAAATAAATACTTAAATAAATTTCATGATATTTTACACACTTATCATATCTTTTACCACCTGTTTAACTCCCATAAGTATAAAATATGGCTTCTTAACTTGTCCTTTGAGTTATAATACAAAAATTTTCATTTATCGTTAATAAAGTGATGGAAAACAACAAGAGTGTCTATTCTATAATGAATATTAAAAAATAATTTATGTTTATTTATTCGTAGCCCAGAATAAAAAAGATTGCTGGCTCCGCCCTGAAGCTAGAACAATTCTGCAGAAACAGCATTCCTTGGCTGGCTGGAAGCTAGATGATCCGTGTGTACTAGTAATCTGTAGGATCTGACTAGGAAAGGTTGAGCTCCTGATACAATCACCCCCCTGATATAATCCAAAAACACTTGTTCACCGTGATGAAGTGCTATTGTTTTCTCCTGCAACCCAGTATAGTTTGACGGTGAACAACACTTTTTCTGACAGAAGCGGCCCATCCTCATGATCCACCATTTTCGCATTCCATCTCATACCTCGCACAATTCTCCTCACCTTGATAAGCACATCAACTTTATCACGGAATATGACTGCTCCTTCAGGCCTTAAAATACGATCCATCTCTAGAAGAATGTCTTCCATATTGCACCTGCAATGGTTGCAATAAAACAAAAATGCAAAGATTCTTAAAATACCATAATTGAAGGTTTGCATGTTTCATCAAGAAACGCTAAAGAAGAGCGGGTGAGCAGCAACATTGATTTCATTTCAAAATTAACTTCCTATCCTTGCAAAATAACGTCCACTTTTGAGAAGGAAGTGGTGTTTAGGTGAGAAGCAATCAAGAGTTTAAAGTATACACACTGACCCATTTAAGACAGAACGTCCCTTGACCTTGTTGGTTCTCTCTGTTGTGGATCAAAATAAGTTTGCTGCGATCCTAGTTGGTGAACTAATAACTTGTGAGACAGAAAACAGAGAAGAGAGAGCAAATCCTAGGACAATTCAACGTGTGATACATTTTACACTTCCAATTGACGCAAGTCATGAAACAAATCCTAGGACTTACATTCGTTATTCTTAAGAAGTTTTTCAGACCAACACTAAAACATAAAATACAAAAATAAAAGAATGGATCCAACTTGTTATTTTATTTTAAAGCAGGATTTATAAAACAAGGTATCAACAACACATATGGATACCATGATTACAAGTGATTTAAGACTTCTTGGTATTTTAAAACTTTATTAAATCATAAGATAAATAATTCAAACCGTATAATGAACACAGGGACATAGTTAAATATAATCATTTAAACTCCTATAAATCATTCCCACTCAGGCTGTCATTTGTGCTATCAAGCATTTTCCTCAAATCCTAGAGCTCTATTCTATTAGAATTAAATAAAAAGTATCAGAAACAAAGACTTACTTGTCTTTATACAAGCTGAAAACACCATTTGCATGAATAAGATCATATGTCCTTGGGTAAGTGGAGAATGCTTCACACCTGATGCAGAAAGTAGAAAGATCATAGGATAAAGTAAGACATTAAAGAACGTAAATGATATAAGAGAGACATAAGTCCACCATAAACAATTTTTTCTCAATAAAAAGAGTTGGAACTCTCAGTAGAAATGTACACATACACAAAACAGTAATAAGAGTTATACCCTCGTTACTTTCTTCTTGTACTCCTATAAATGAAAGTTCGCAAATTAAAAATTTAATAAAAACCAGAATAAGATTAGACCTTCCCCATACTACAGTAAGATTATTGGGTAAAATTTAACATATTAAATATCAGAGCATGAAGCTAGTTTTCACATGGCCAGGTAGAATAACCACGGTTAGAGCATAGCCAAAATTAGTCGGTAAAAGAGTAAACACTACCACCTATCAAGCTCCATCTACAACATAGTCTAAATTGATTTTTCTTGCTTATCAGGAAGAACAAAAGATGTATTAGGTTCTCAAATCCTCTAAGATATCAACCATGCACAAAAGATACTCACAAATATAATTTCTTTGGTTTATGGTTCCCTTTTCTCATCTCCACAATTCTTTTCAAGACCAGATAGAAAGTCATCAATATGCAAAAGTATGAATGACATGGGAAATTTTTTTTATCCAATAAGTTCGCAATGTATTCATTGGAAAAATGTTGTTAAAATGCTTATATTTGGTTCATAACATCCCATATTAACTAACCTTCAAATTGGTTATGTCCTAAACAGTGGGCCAAGTTAAGCTTCAAACCTCCAGTAAAAGTGAGCTGAGAGGCTTCTAATTCTAAAAACAGCCAAAATATTTGCTTTAAGAAAACTTATATCGGGGAGAAGAAGATTTGGATTTTCCTTTCACCCCAGACTCAAGATTGTCCTGTTTAAAGAACCCATTGCACCATAGTAGTGCTCTGGATTGGATCATAACCAAATAGTTGAGACATGAAAGACTGGTGTAGCTAGCACCAGATAGTAGGGACAGAAGCCTCGCTGAGTTGAGGCCAAAAAGAAACGATGTTAGAAAAATGATGGGGAAAGTGAAGCCGTGATCAACAGAAATTTATGGCTATTCTATCTGCACTACTTAGTAGTAGAAATTCAATCAACAAAATAATGTGAGCAGAGAAAGGAAAAAAAAACAAAAACAAAAACAAAAAGGGCATGTTCCAAAACTTACCAATCATGATATATGCCAATCAAGCCACGCTCGTATATGACACCCAGAGTGTCTCTTTCATTTATTGTGGGCATAACATTCATAACCCACAATTTTGGAGATTCAAGAGCTACAGCAAAGCCTCCCATGCCAGCATTCATGTCCATAATGTTGCGATACCTCCCTGAGTCAATGACACTGTTTATCCTCTTATAGGCATTGACATGCTTCTTCCATGTTCGACTGTCCCCTAGGAATATCTCATCTGACAATCCTGGAATGGAGCCACTGGTTATTCTGGAAGGAACAGCATTAAGTCTCTCTGAAAATGGCTGCCATGCTGCACCAGTGACTTCATCTGTCTCAGGATGAGGAGTTACACATGCCTCCATTTTCTTGTACCTAGAAAAATACGAAAAAATACAGTAAACATGGAGCAAAAGTTTTCTACCTCAAACAAATAACTTCAAAGAACTTATCATTCTGAATAATTTGAAATACGCAAGCTACTGAAATCTTTCATCATGGAAACCCATCCTCATTGAAGCTTGCAACTTAAGTAATGGTAACACTACTGGCGTAATTTCAGTCATAAATATTGCAACAGATGGCAATCCACTCAAACAGGACCAAATAACATAAATAAATAAACTAACAAAGCAGCTTAGGGAACAACAATCACATGGATCAGCTATATCAATGTTGTTCTTGCTGGAAATAACAGGCAGAAGTTCCGCAACAGGGAAAAAAAAAATCTACCAAAGTTAAGCTTCTTTCTAGCAAATTGTCTGGAGAATAAATATTAAACATATATTTATTGCTAAACATTCACAAAAACATACCAAACATCATCTGGATTTGTTGATTTACACATAGTTGGTTTAGGATCTTGCTCACGGCAAAAATCATTATTTATTCTTTTCTGCCAGATAGCTATTTCACCAATCTCATGCTTCTTTTCCCAGCAAAGAAGCTTGGCAACCTCTTCGATCTTCCTTTGTTCCTCCTCCAGTTCCTCTTTAGGACGCTGCCATGCTTGGTAATTATTCTTCCAGTTAATGGGGGGACCAGAAAGCACCCAATAACCACCAGGTCTAAGAACACGGTCAATTTCCATCATGTACATTCCATCTGAAAAGGGAAGTCCAAACTTGAAGCTCTCAATGACTTGCATTGCAACTATCTAGCCAAATAATATCAAATATCATGAAAATAAAAACATATAAACTATGAAGGCCACAACCGCATTGAAGGTCCATGTCACTAGCCATCCTACACTTTATTATAGCCAGATAGCATAATATTTTAACTGATCCAATGCTGGCTAAACTATAAAAAAAAACATCCTGATGGCTAAATTCCATGATGTCCTGATTTTGCAAGTCATGTCAACAGGGCCAAGGTGGTTCGGCTGTTTCACGCTTCTATATGGTAATTGGAATGCATACAAAAAGATAAATCAACAGCAAGAAACTATTTAGAGCACTTGTCTGCAATGCCTTTCTTAAAAATACTTTATAGTTTTATACAACAAAGCATAGGTAATTATTCTCACCATTAGCACCCCAAGGGATCAGGCAACGAGAACAGTGGGCCATGTCGAAGGCTCTAGATGGATATGGAAGCTTGATAGTTCCAAGAACACCAATAACAGCAGGGACGCCTCTTTCCAATGCAAATTGAATTTGTGATTCATGAGAGTCCCTTGGTGCAAACGACATAGCTATAACATTCTTTTTGAAAAGGTATGCACCCCAACTTGCAACCTAAGCACCGTCAAAAGCAATGAGCAAAATGAAATTCGAAAGGAGAGTAAATACCAAAGCTCCACGCTGCAGAGTGAAGACTGAGCAAAAATCAGACCATTAAGAAAAACAGTCATTTTTGTTGTGTGAGATGCAGAGAAGAGACCACATGATAGGAAAACAAAGGCTACTAGTATAATTTAACTTACCCCACATCCAGTATCTAAAGCAGTTCTAACAATTCCATTATCCATGGGGATAACAGAAGCGAGTTCATTAATATAGGCATCTGCTCCATGAGGAAACTGTGTTCCTCCACCAGGGAACCTAAAGACGTTGCCCTCGTACTGAATCCAGTTCTGAACAGCCTTCTCAACGGTCAAGCTCTTATAAGGAGCATTAACAAAGGGTACGTAGTCGCGACTCTTGGGCCAAGGAAATGGGCTTGCATATCCTTTTGGTGCTGGAATAAGGCAGGGCAGCTTCTCGTTGTCAGAAGGGCAATGGCGTTCCCTGTAGATCATATTATCTCGGGGAAACGTCATTGCTCTCATTTGATCTTGACAAGGCGTATAATCGATGTACTTGTCTTCACAGGGCTTAAACTCCTTGACTTGTGCTCCATCATCAATCATGCCAGCATCACCACTTTTCTGATAATTAAGATTGTTGAAAACACTGCAATCTGTCTGTTTGGAGATCTCTAAGGCTATGTTATCACCCTTTCCAACGCCACTTCGCCTCCAAGCACCCAGGATGTAGAAGAAACAGCATAAACCCGCAATCATAAATATGGAAAACAAACTGTTATTGCTTTTACGGTCTCCTGAATTCCCTTTTGTAGCCATAACTCACCTGACATATGAGTAAATGTTGTCGGAATTAAAATTAAGAAATAAAACTGCTTTTTCTTCTCCCCTCTTCTCTTCTGTTATGATGGCAAGCAAGCAGATAATAACAAGTTAAGTGTTAATCAAAGAGAATTAATTACTCTTGGATAAGTAACAACAAACCCTGTTCTTATTATTCATTAATCGAACACTAATGTAATGATTATACGACGGGACATGTTCTCTTTGTGCCGCAAAAAGTCAATTATAAAACAAGGCATGTACCCTTATGTTGGAAGGAGTCAAATACTTCCAGTATATGAAGAACAAAATCCCAATGAACACGGTTTCTTGATTTCAAGGACCAAATCAAAAGATCCAAAAACTGAACAATTCTCACGGAGGATGAGGATGATGTCGCGTGGTTCAACAAATCAGAAGAAAATCACTACTGACGTTTCATTTTCAGAAATTTGTTGTGTGAGAGATGCAGAGAAGAGACATATAGTTTTTTCACTTCTGATTGGGCGAGGAGGTTTATCCACTTATCGTCATCTACCTAAATGCAAACGTGGAGAGGGACACGGGGATCTCTCTTCTCTCCTCGGCTTCCCTCTCGCCTCCTTCATATCGTTTGCCTTTTTATTTATTTATTTATTTGTGAAATACTTCCATGGCCCCTCTATTCTTGCAAAGTGTTCATACTTACCCCTACAATCCAATCTTGTTCTCAATTTTTTTTTTTTACGATTAATCTAACTATAAAAACAGCTGATTTCACTTGATTAACATTGTTAACAGATCTTTAACATTGTAATTTTTTTGCAAGATTAAATTAATTAAGAAAAAACTAACACAATAAAATCATAATACAATAAAAAAATAAAGCCTCATAAAACATTCCCTGATAATCCAATTTGCGGCTGCATTTAAGTGTGCTGAGTTCTAGCACTGTAATTAACATACCTAAATAGAGGGATTATGCATGACCAGTATTATAAAACACAAGGTCCTGTGTGAAAAAAATTAAAGTAGAAGGGTATATATAACTAATTTCTTTAAATAAAGGGACTACTAAAATGTATTTTACCATAAAAACAGCTCTGAATTTTCTTTCCCGAACACAAAGCTGATAGACAATAGTTGAGATTTGCTAATGATTTCATTGGAATAGATTCAACTTAAACCAAACAAAAAATAAAAGAGAACCCACTTCCATTCTTCATAAACCACACCCACTTAACGCTAATATTTAATTTTAAGATTAACATTAATGTTAGGTAAGGGATGAATATTATGAAATAATAATAATTACTGCTTTGCATTTTCTTTTCATGTGACTTCCTAACATCTTCCCCAGTCGGCTCCCTTCTCAGACCTTCAACTAGGCCATTATTAGCCTTTTCAACATAATGTTCATGGCATCAACAATAAAATAATTTAAAATAAAGAAAATCCAATTAAAATGTTTGGATTGGTGGGCTAAAAGCTACTCAATCATAAAATCCAAAATGAGTCTTCAAGAAAATATATATTTCATCCCAAACTTTATGATATCCCTTCTCAAACCCTCATCTTATGTTCCATGTTCCACAAATAACTGGAAATGAGAAAGTTGTTTGATTGCATAAAATATATAAGGGAAATGGAAATTCTCTTAGAAAATAACTAGAAACATGCTGCACCCGGTGAAGCCGTGTGTTGACTAATTTTTTTGGGTTTTTTCTTCTCTGTTCTTAGAGTTACTCCATTGATGAGAGAGAGAATGGTGATTTTCTTTTAAAAAAATCAACAGGTTTTGGAAGAGCTGATTCAGCCCTCTGGTGGGCTCTTTCTTTAAACAAAAAAATGGAAGCTTGGGGGTTTTCAGGGCTATCGTTGTTGTTTCATGAGCATAAGGTGTTGAGGAGGAGGAAAGTTACAAGTAAGACAAAGAGGTAGCAATAAGAACAGTTGCAACAATAGTTATGGCAGTTGCAAGAGTTACACTAACAAGAAGGAACGTACACGACAAAGGAGTTAGTAGTTAGTAGTTGGTAGTTAGAAAATAACGATCGGGCTTACTTGTGATTATGGTTGGAGTTTAATTTTTTTTTTATTTTTTAAAAATAATTTTTAAAATTAGTATATTAAAATAATCCAAAAATAAAAAAATAAATAATTTTTAATAAAAAATAAATAAATTCAAGTTAGTCCACGTTTCCATGTCCTTAAACAGTATTTGGAAACACTTTAAAAGATTAATTACTAGAATTACTAGAAACCATTTAGTACTTCATCCTTAACGTGGTCCAAAGGCTTAAAAGATTAATTACTAGGTTATTTTCGCATGATGTATGGAGTAGTCATTCTAAGAAGAGTTCTTAATGAATGCTCTGCATCTATTCATCAAGCTTCCTATTATGTGTTCCTTCAATGGTTTTACCTTGATATTTTATGCCATGATCTTTCTTTTGATTGGTGCAAGTCATTAAGGAAGGCTATGGATTGTCGGCTTGATTAAGTCTTTCCTTAATAAACTAATGGAGTAATTAAAGATAAAATAAAGGAATAAAAGAAGAAGTTTAGAGATAATGCAACTGTAAAAAACAAAAACAAAAAAAAAGAAAAAAAGAAGGATTTCATTACTTGCCTTCCATGTTTCTTACAATCCTTTTTATATACAAGGTTTCCTGCCATTCTTAAACTCTAATAGAATTGTAACTAATTTTTTTAACTCCTAACTAACTAATTAAGATGATAGTCATGTTTAAAAGTGTTTTTATTTGGAAATATATTAAAATAAATTTTTATTTATTTTTAAAAAATTATTTTTTATATCAGCACATCAAAACAATATGAAAATATAAAAAAATTAATTTAAAAAAATTATTTGAAAAAACTAGATGGTTGCCCATTTATTTATAAAACAAACAAACAAACAAAAATCACCCTAATTTGACAATTCAAACTTTTAAATTTAAATTATGTAGAATTAAGTTATTAAAAAAAATATTTAGAATAATATTTTGTTATATAATATTCAATTTTTACTCTATTGTTATAGGATTGTATCATATTTTTTACATATAATATCAACAAAAACTCTTTTTATACAACCTTTATTTTTTTTCTTTAATTTTATTCATTATTTTTCATGTACTTTGTTATTTTTCTTATCATATAATCAAATAAATAATGGAACACAATAATTTTGAGATTGCATTCACCAAAATATATGGTTCCTCACAATAGCTTAATGACACAATTAAAAGATTGATGTCTTCTCCCAAATGCAGGAGTGTCGAAGTAATAAATAACCCGGCAAGACCGGGATTGAACCACAGGGAGGTTAATTGTACAAATTATAAACGATAATAGTACAACAATAATAATAGTAACAACAACAACAATAATAGTAATAACAATAATAACAACAATGACAATAACAATAATAACTATAATAATAATAATAATAATAATAATAGTAGTAGTAGTAGTAATAATAATAATAATAATAAAGAAAAAGAAGAAGAAGAAGATGAAGATGATAACTTTGAGATGAAATATTAACGTAAAGATTTAACAATGATAATAACAAATGTCAAGGTTAGAGGATCCACTAATGGTATGTCAAACAAGTATAGTATAAACTCTTATTATTCAATTGGAAACCACACACAAAGGAGGTTCCAAGTAGATTATAGATTGTTAATATGATTACATTAGTCATCTTATTCAATTAATGCTAATACTTGTAAATATGATTACATTAGTCATCTTATTCAATTAATGCTAATACTTGTAAATCTCGTCAAGCATTCATGATTATAACTTATGTTAACAACAAATCAAGTTCCTTTCATAGCACAGGTGTCGGTTATACCATACAGTATGAGCTATGAAAGTGTCAAGCATTTGTTGTATCAAGTGTTATACAACATAAATCAAGATTAGTCATTTAACAAGCAAAGTATTAAAGAGTGAACAAGATAACAAATACAAAACATGTTAGTATCAAACATTAAAGTCCATATTAAGTTTATACTATACTTATTCTTACACCATTAGTGTAACCTGTTCACCTTGACATAATAAACTTAGCTAGACATATCGAAAGAAAGAAAAATAAATAAACAAAACAAGAACATAAATAAGATAAAAGTTAGCTAAGTAAATGAAAGGAAATGAAAGGCAGAAACTTGATATTAATGAAAGCAAAGCATAAACATGACAAAAAATACAAAGAGAGAAAGCAAGAGCATGACCTTGATCTGGAAACCAAGATGCCTAAATGCATGGCAAATGCCTCCTTTTATAGGCCAAAATTGGGAACTATTGATTGATGACTAATTGATGAGTGGGTGGCCAACTCTTGACTTGGTGACAATCCTTATCTTCTCTTGTCTACCCAAAACGTCATTGATAACGTCGAAATTGTAGCCACTTGAAAACATCAAAGTTGTAGGAAATTGTCTCAGCTTTCTTGTGTAAACAATTCAGCTCATTTGGACTTCTAGAACTCCAGATATGGCCAAAATACCGAACAGTGCTCAGGGCGGAAGACAGATTCGGGCTTCTTTGTTGGTGCTACAATTTGGACTTGATAATGGCCTTTTTAGATCTTGGGCTCCATAGGAAAGTTGTAGGCCTATGTCTTACCTTTCCATCCATATAAATTGGACCTAAATCTGAGATCTATAGCTCTAGATATGACCCAATTACCGAACAGTGTTCCGGTTTGGATTGCACCGACATCTCTTTTCTAAGTATGGCCATCTCTTTATCCTTGCAATTTAAGTTCTTCAAGTCATCAATCAATCCTTTTATTTATGTGATAGGCCTGCATTAAAAATAGACATTTACCATAAATTATAGGTATCTTATATTATTAGATACATTATTATAAAACATATTTTAGTTAAGGAGTTATTGATATTTCAAGTGCAAAATGATGATATAAAACCATGATTAAAATGCACTTTTAAGTACTAATCACACCCCCCAACCAGCTTATTACTAGTCCCTAGTAATCAAAGCGTTAAAACAATTTGCAAATTTCACAAAGCAAGGTATTCATCATTTAACTTCCATTAATGTATCCAGATAAACAAACTCTCATTAAATTTATATATCTGCTCAATACCTCTTAACAAGATATTAATAAACCTTTCTTTTGTGCTTAATGTATCAACACATAATTATGGGGCTTTTCTTGGAAGAAAAAAAATGTTTTGTTCTAATGTTTAAGGTTAACTTCCTTGGGTTGGGATTATTATTTTTGTCTCTTTTTTTGTCTTTTTTTTTTAAAAAAAATCTATATACATATAAAAAAACATCATGCATCTTTAACCCGGGTGTTAAGACACCCAGGCTAATGACTCCCAGGCCAGTTGGTCTTAGGGCATTAGGTGTTAAGACACCCCTACGAGCTTAGTAACTCGGGTCGCAGATACTGGTATATAGATAGTGCAATGTTTGATTCCCTTAAGCTTTTCTCCTCAACCCATGTAACAAGCGTTGAGCCAATAGCTCCCAAGTCAGTTGACTTTAGGGTATTAGGTGTTAAAACACCTCTTCGGGCTTAATTGCTTAGGTTAGGGAGGCTACGAAACCAAACTTATCTATATTTTTATTATCATC